TAGAATAGAATAGAATAGAATAGAATAGAATAGAATAGAATAGAATAGAATAGAATAGAATAGAATAGAACTTTAATGTCCATGTAGTGGAAATTTGTCTGGCTCACCAGACATGTAATATACTAAAATATACAGAACAACACATCAAGTACAACTCTAAAAACCTACAAAAGTTCATAAAACAAGTTCATAAAAAACACATTTATAAAAAGATTTAAAATATCTCTACCCCAAGAAGCTTAGTCAGATATCACTTAATTTGGCATTTGGGACAAAGGATTTTTTTAAATAATTTTTGCCAGAAAAAAAGTATTTCCATACAGAAAAAAATGAATTACTGATTGATTCTGGATGTGCTTTTCAAAATTGAGTTGGGGTCCATCATGTTAATAATATTATTTTTTCATGTAGAATAAATTCTGTGACCATCAAAAGCTTCTGATGAAATGACCACACATTTCTCCCAAGTTAATCGGGGACGAAGTTCTAGTAGAAAACAGCTGAAGGTACAGAAATAATGTACTTCCACACTGAAAGGTAAYAAAATAGACCATGCTATATGCCTTCCACTGCGACAGGTGGCGCTGTGACAATGCTCCTCCCTTCTCCCCATCGGTCACGCCCAGCCGTGCTCAGCAACAGGTCAGCGAAGAAGTTGAGAGGTCTGTGGACAAATTGTTTATTAGTGTTCAACCTAACTACTTTCTGATTTTGTTTGGGCTTCGGTACGAACTCTTCTAAAAAACAAAAAATAGCCGCGTCTGAACAGTCAACGTCAACACGCCCTCATACGAAATCGAGTTGGTAATAATAAAACTTCTGTGTTTTCATTTTACCGTTACTTTCATCGTCCCACGCGACGAAAACAAGCAAAGAAGCAAGAGTTGTGTTRTCGCTCCCGATTATGTAACATCAACAAGCGAGCTAAATTCTGCTAAAAGTTAGCTGAATTCTGACTCAAAGTAATGTAAAAGTCTTTTAAATAAAACCGAATGAATGTTCAACGCTGTGTTAGCTTTTGTTTATGGTTGCTTTGCAGCAGCTAGCCAAATGAAGCTAACCAGTTTCACACAGTCGCTTCGTGATTTAGCAGCTTTGTGTTATTTTATCTTTATGACCATTTTAAAGTTTTTACAACGCCCAGTTTGCTGTTTTTCCACTAATTTTGTTGTTTAGTGCTGGACAATTTTAGTATATTCTTCCTTTAGCTTTACTAAAATAGTGTATTTTGTACAAGAAATACTACTTTTATTTATACTTTGAAAATCCCCCAGGAACATGAAAAAAAGGACTTCTGTCAATCATTTAATTATAGTCCAGCTGCTTTAAAGCATAGTATTATTAAAACTTTAGCATACAATTTTTTTTCATCAAATTTGAAATGAGCAAAGCCAGAAATGGGAGTTTGGGATAAATAAACAAGTCTAGATTGTCTTATTTAAGAGGATGAGAGCAGCTTTATCCATACATATGTTGTTTCTTTCAACAGGTGACACTGTGTGGTATGAAAGCTATGCATGAGGTGGACCGGAGGTCCGTAAGAATCTTTACTGAGCTGACCCACTCCAGGTAACAAGCAGAGAGAGATTTTTCTATCGCCACCATGTCAGGTGAGGCACCAGCAGACCCTGCACAGCTTGTGAATCCCCCTCCTCCTGAGGTGACCAATCCCAACAAGCCGGGACGGAGGACCAACCAGCTGCAGTTCATGCACAAAGTTGTGATCAATGCGTTGTGGAGGCACCAGTTTGCTTGGCCTTTTTACCAGCCTGTTGACGCTGTCAGTCTTGGACTATCAGTGAGTATTTAGTATTTTATTGATCAGTTGACCAAAACTGAAGTCATTTCTATAACAAGTAAATCAATTACTGGTACTTTAAAATAAAATTACCCACATCACATTGTACGTGGCGATCTCTGCCTCCCAGCTGACATGAGTGTCCCACAGGTATGYGTTTTGCATTGAACATAGTGTTTTCAGACTCCAATTAATGCATTTTTCATCAGTCTGCAAGGGTAGTTCACTCTGATTTTTAGTATGTTGTAGCAAAGAAGTTAATCTTTCACCTTGTTTTTAATCAAAGGGATTCTGCCATTTCGGCTTGCAGTTTATCCATGGTGAAGTTGATGCTCTAGTGTCAAAACACATTTGAGCTTATAGCGCTCAATAAAAAGTAAATGGCACCAAAATATAACATTTTATCTAAATAGTGGCTGAGTTTCATGACAATGCGATCGGGCAAACATAGTTTTTTTAAGACCCCAAACGTGAAGATGCTACGATGGTGGCAAAACAAACATATTTTCTCCATGATCCTTGATTAATTAATACATTTAGGTAGCCAAAGTTAAGAGCACGCCATTTCCTACTTCTCCTGAAAGTTTTATCCAATTATCTCAGGAAATAAAGAAGTCATGGCCCTTTTGCCTTTGTTGCGAAATCATCACAAGTTTTGTTAAATCACTGGAAAAGTTTTGAGCAATTTTTCGATACTAAAATGGCCATAACGTCCTTATTTCGTTGCTGATATAGACAATCTTGCATTGCGCTTTTAAAAGAACTGTTTATGGACTTTTTATTTTGTTTGTCGTGAATATTTAATGTACATTTGCATACAATTATTTCCCCTACTTTTTCTGAGAGTTCTTCTGTTCAGAAATATATAAATATCGTTACAGTAGCATTTCAGGTTGGAAGCGTTTCCTCACTCTCGTTAACGTGACTTGAGTTGTACATGAATAATTTAGTTTATGTGCTTTAGACGTCTGTTCATTCTGTACATGTTTCTATGTACTGTAACTGCTGCCTTTAGGAGGAGCCTTTATTCAATTCACATTTCTAAATAAACTGTAAATCCAGATGCTAGGAGCTGGGTACTGATGGACTTCTCTGCCTCAGTCAGACTTGGAAAGACAGATTCGAAACAGATTTTTTTTTTCTTTTCTCAGGATTATCACAAGATAATCACGTCCCCCATGGACTTGGGCACCATCAAGAAACGACTGGAGAACAACTACTACTGGAGCGCCAGTGAATGCATGCAGGACTTCAACACCATGTTCACCAACTGCTACATTTACAACAAGGTGAGAGGCTGTGGGATTCCTCTTATGAAATATGTAACAAAAGAGCTCGGTTTATTCTTGTTGCTCTTATTTTGTTCCGTATTTGGTGGCTGAAACTCGTGATCTTTAAACACACGAATCCAAACTGATTCGTTTTCCTCCTGCTCTGCAGCCTACAGATGACATCGTGCTGATGGCCCTGGCCTTGGAGAAGATTTATCTGCAAAAAGTTGCTCAGATGCCTCAGAAGGAAGAGGAGAGTCTTTCTCAAACTGGCAGAAAGAAACGCAGAAGAAGCAGCAATGCAGGTACTGTGTGAGCGTCTTTGCTTGTCTAACGACGTTCAGGTAAAGGTCCTGTCACACTATAATGACTTGTGAAAACTTTATGACTATTTTAATCATATCGGCTGTGTATTTTATCTAATAGTTAGCATTACAGTATGTAGGTTCAAAAGAGGCTTCCAGTAGATTTTTTTTAATTTCATCTTCACCTTAGTCATCTTTAGTGTTGAACAAACATTTCTTAAGTTGTTTAAAACATTATAGTGTGACGGTTTTAAGAGGCAACTCTTAAGTAGTTACAGAAATGACCTTATCCTCACAGTTATCCCTTTTTCCAGTGCAAAAATATGAGAAGGACATATGTTGTGTTATTGTTTTCGGTGCTTTTCTTTTGAAATCATGCACATTGTATATTAGGATGTGATCAGTGTTTGCTAACTTTTGGATCCTTAGGTCTTTGTATTTGCTGGTGTCTGTTTTTGTTATTTGTTTACTTAGTTCTGAATATTTGATTTGCTGCAAAAAAAAAACTTCCCTTTGGAAGTTGAAGCCTAAAGAGGACATATCATGTAAAATCCATTGTATTAGCCAGTAAATGCATTTTGTTGTGTACTTGGAGTCTGTCGAAGTGCAGAAAAGTATAATTTAGTTTCTCCCAGTGCTGTGCCGCTATATTCTGTTTGGGTCATATTTTTTCAACCTGTTCATTTTCTTTGACATTTTCTGAACAGTTTTGTCACAGAATTTGGTTCACGGTCTGAACTTACCAACTACAATTTATTGATCTTCATTCTCCTCTGGTTCTGGGTCAGACTCTGGTTCCAACATGTCAGGCTGGATGGACAACTCTTCCCTTGTTCACGTCTTTTAATTCATTTGTAAATAAAAGGTTTCTGTGCAGCTATATAGTCGTGAACCTTTCCATCTATCTAGAGTGGACCGCTCTGGAGACAGCCTCAAAACGAGTTGATCGGAGACACACCTCAGAAAAGGGGCGGGGCTTGTGGAGTTACAAAAAGGAGACCAAACCAAAGCATTGCATTTCCACTTTATATAGACCCTGACTGAAGGATTTAAATGTGAAAAAGAGGGATTTAAAAGGATATGTCTTCTTTAAAAAGAAAAAGCCAATTTCATTTTCAGATTGATGTATTTGAACATTTATAGTGCGTTTTGCTGCTTTCTTAGACAAGAAAAAAAGGCTGAAAAGTGTGGATCAACCCATCAGTCCTAGAAAGGAGGGCAGCAAAGAGAAGGAGCCACAAACTGAAGCGGGCCAACGGAGCGACCAGCTGACTTACTGCAACGAAATCCTGAAGGAGCTGCTTTCTAAGAAGCACTCGGCCTACGCCTGGCCCTTCTACCTGCCTGTCAACGCTGAAGCTCTGGGGCTGCATGACTACCATGACATCATCAAATACCCAATGGATCTCAGCACTGTTAAAGTATATTCCCTTCCACAGCCTAGATTTGTCTTATTACATATTCATTTTAACTATAAATAATAATGATGTATTTGTGTGTTTTGCATGTGCAGAATAAAGTGGATGAAGGAGAGTACCAGGATGCGCAGCAGTTCGCCGCAGACGTCCGCTTAATTTTTTCCAACTGCTACAAATACAACCCCCCACATCACAGTGTTGTCGCCATGGCCAGGAAACTTCAGGTGTGTTGTGGATTATTACATAGAAAAGGAAAGGAGCTCATTGGGGCTTCATTTCTCTTATTATTGTTGTTTGTTTTTTTCAGGGAGTGTTTGAGCAGAGGTTTGCAAAGATGCCAGATGAGCACGTGGAGATAAGCTTACCAGTTAGTGTCATGTCTGCTAGAAGTGCAGCTTTCTGTGGGCTGAATGAAAACGGTTCCTCCAGTGTGGACAAATCAGAATCAGCTGATGTAGAGGATCAGGTGGGTTCATGTCGAAATCTCTTCAAAACTTTCCTTCCCTTACAGATGATGTTCTAAAGCCCTTTGTTCTACTGCAGACGTGCAGTTAAAAGTTGCTGCTTTGTGCTTTTTTTTTTCTGCTAAAACCAATGTGTTGCTTTCTGTTTGCTGTGTGTTTGTGGTTAAACTCCAGACCTAATGTTGGTTGACAAATCCTTTTYCTCATTCTGTCAAATTTGCCAATATTCAACTAAGTTTTGGTGTGGTTAAGGTTAAGCGTCATCGTCAGCACATTTTTGAATGCTTCACATGCAGCAGTTTTACTTCAAACTATTAACCGTTGGAGTCAACCCTGATAGTTTGTTAGCAAAATATCTCATCACTGGATGGGTGATGAACACTCCTTCAGAGAACTCAGGGCTGTACGGTAACCTTTTTTTTTTTAGCATATAGCACTGGTGCTGGTTTTGTAACAGTACAAAAATTTGTAGCCCCAGCATAAAATGTCTATTACAATCTCTACAACCTAAAGCAGGAATTGTGGGAATTGTTGTAGGACAGGGATCACCAACCTTTTTGAGACAGAGCTGCTTCAGGGCCGCATGAAATAAAAAAAAAATCAGTCAGTCTAAAAATAATTTTTCATCACAGGTGCTGTAGAGCCCTGAAGAAATGCAAGGCTTTTAATCCTTGATTTTCCTTCATCCTAAAGTTTTATAT